GAGTGTCATCAGTAAGTTGGAACAGAGGCCTGTGGCCACAAAGCCTGCCATTTTTGGACACATTTCCTAAGGCCCTAGTCAGGGTGTCTCTGGCTTCCTGCCAGTGATGTGCTGCTGTCTCTTGCCTTCCTGGTCCTGTTGGCCAGATTCTTACTCCTAGACCCAGGGAGGGCCACGAAGAACCAAGTGCTTGTGCACCCACTTATGAGTACATACCTATTTGGGAACTTCAGACTTTACCAGTCCTTTCTGAGCATATCTCACTCCAGTCATGCAGCACTTAACATGGGGAAGTGCAGGGGCCCATCTGGCAAACAGCCCAGGTGGTTGGACTGCTCACTGTTCTTCTCCAGTGACCATTCCCTTTTTCCCCAGGGCGCCGCCGGCACCAGAAACAGGATGAAGAGCCAAGTGAGGAGGCAGCCATGATGAGTTCCCAGGCCCAGGGGCCACAGCGGAGACCCTGCAACTGCAAAGCCAGCAGCTCGAGCTTGATTGGGGGCAGCGGGGCCGGCTGGGAAGGCACGGCCTTACTGCACCATGGCAGCTACATCAAGCTGGGGTGTCTGCAGTTTGTCTTCAGCATCACTGAGTTTGCGACCAAACAGCCCAAAGGCGATGCCAGCCTGCTGCAAGATGGGGTCTTGGCCGAGAAGCTCTCTCTCAAGCCCCACCAGGGCCCTGTGCTGCGCTCCAACTCCGTTCCCTAGGACTGGTGGCTGCCCCATCACCCGCCTGTCCACCCAACCCAAGACTCCTGCAATGCAAAAATGTACACAAACCAAGCCCGGGTTTTTTCTATACTCTACCAGAAACCCTTCAACTACAATCTTTGCATGACATGAAGAAAACCTTTTGACTGTTTTTTAAAAATCCTTTTTCTTTTCTCAAGTTCTAGGGGGCATTTGCACATATATTTGTACTCAACATTTCATGGGAAAGCGGCAGACCCGAGCTGAGGAACAGCGTGGGCAGGGAGGGGAAGGCCAATGGACACTTCCTCCAATACAAAACCGTTCCCCACCCACCTGCTCCCTCCCCCTCGCCCGCCGTTGTAAAATAATCAGAAACTTGTTCTATTTTGTGGCAGTGACAATAGTTTTATATTAAAAAGAAAAAATACAGTTTTCATACAGCAAAATCTATACAATATCATTGTTTTATTTAATATAAAGATCGCTACCCACCCTCCTTCCATGGTTCCCACCCTCCAAGTTATTTTCCCTTTCTGCAGCGGTTGCACTACAGGTAGCTACTGTGTATTATGGACAAATAAGAAATGAATCCTTTTTCTGTTGTCCATCTATTTTATTTCAAATAAGGAAAAGTGTATTTGGATTTTGTGTAAATACATCTAGTGATGACATTTTTTCAATGTTTTTAAAAACTGTGTACAGTACTACATGTGGTAGAGCGTTTTCTTCAAATTGTCTATTGTAGCAAAAATGTTTTTGTCGTAAACCTGTTTTGTCTCCTTTTTTTGTTCTCTTGCCACTCCTCTCCCGTCCTCCCACCCCTGGCTCCCTCCTCTTCTCCCACCCCACAACTAGTACCAATGTACATAGTAATTGTAATGTTTTAGACTTTACAGAAACTTTCCTGTATTCTGTATATAAAAAAACAAAAATACTTCAAATTATGTTTTCTGCCTGTCTGTCCTACCTGTCATCACCCTTGGAAGTAACCTTCCCTGAGATCTTGGTCCCACAGTCTCATTGAACAAGTCGCATTCCCCAAGGGAAATCAGGAGAGGGGAGGTGTTGGAGGAAAGTGAGCCTAAGGTGCATGGGGCAGTGGAAATGGAAGGGTACCCTATGTGTCCCCTAAGGGGAGCTGTTGTATGACTTCCTTCATTGGTGACTCGGAGTTTAGAGGGCTTGACCACTTGACATGATAAGATTCCAAGAGTATGTAGGCCCTTGCTCCTATTAGCTCCAAAACCAAGACAATACAATGAGCTAGCATGAGACCTCTGCATTCTGGACTAGAAGCTTTAACCTAAGGGGTTGGGGGCTGCCTTTGGTTCCAATTATTTGCTATCATATTTTATGAATCTGATCTGGGAGATCATATCACCTCATTTTGTCCTTTCCCTGTCACCTTAGCTGGGTATGGAGCAATTCATTTATTCAAGTACCACTTGACCCTCCTTTGTGCCTGGATCTTGGTCTAACTCACTTGCCATGAGCAGTTGTCAAGGCAGATATGTTCCCTGCCTCTTGGAGCTTAGAATCTAGTGTGGAGCAGTTTGTTGATTCAAACATCTCTGAGGAATATCATGAAGAAAAAGAAGAAATCCAGTCTCTAGATCCAGCTGTGCCACACGTTCTATGGCTTCGATCACCACTTCTCTACAACAGCTATTCCTCAAAAGACAAGTCTAGTGCATTACCTAAATTCTAAGGTCCTGCACCCTCTTATTAAACCAAATTCCATCCATTTCTTCTTGAAGACCTTGTATGAGAAACTATCCAGGATATTTTCCTAAAGACAGTTTCCAACTCCGTAGCTGGAGAGCACCTGTGTGTCTATCCCAGCACTGTTCAAGTATGGGGTGCCTGTTGGCCTGCCCAGATTTTGCCATGGAGATGGAGAATGCATTCATGTTCTTAATATTTCATCCCATAGCATCTACAATTGAACACTGAATCCACAGTGCAGCTAAATAGGAAACTTCCCTGGGAATCTGGTCTGTCCCAGGCTTTCACCTACCTGTCTAGCTTTGCCCCTGCCCTAATGGGCCTCTTGAACTCCCTAAGGGCAGAAATATATGTTGTTCAACTCCATATTTCCAATGGCTAACCACACTGCAGGGCACACCGTTAAGTGCCAAACAATGGGTACTAAATTGCACTGGAATTCTCAGGCAAGGCCCTTTCTTCTGGCAAGTCACCTGGCAGGAAGACCCTTCCTCCCTAGCTGTTCCCACCCACCTGCTCTCATAGTCACTTCTTCCACTGAGTAATGGAGCTTCACCTATTTCTACCACCTGTGAGAACCATTCTACAAAGAATTTCCTCCTGGAAGTAAAATATTACACTCTTCCTGCTTCCTTTCAGAAGTGGAGGGGGTGGGGGGCAGAGGCAGGAAGATACAGACAGCTAAGGAGAGTGAATCCTGACAACTCTTAACTGATGGTGCCATGCTGAAACACACTATCACCTCCTTGGCTTCTATGGGAAGAATAGGGAAGAATCCTAGAAACTGAAGGTGGGTTATGAGGATAGGAATGGAAGGATTTGTTTATGCAGGACAAGGTATCCAGGATGGAACTCACTCTCAGACACAAGAGCATTCATGTACACACATGGAGCTCTCCAGAAGGGAAAGACTCTGCTACATACTGCCACCCAGAGGGCTCACACACACCCTGTGAGCCCCTCCTGCAAGCCTTCAGCTATAGAGCACCATACAAAGGGCAGGTACATTCCATATTCATTCAAGCACACACATGCAGAGACTACAGATGCATGCACACACCTGGAGGGGCTCTCAGCTACATGGACCCAAACACATAAAATGATGCACACATACACACAGGAACGCAGCCCTGGCCGGGTAGCCCAGTTGGTTAGAGCGTCCTCCCCATATGCCAAGGATGTGGGTTCCATCACTGGTCAGAAGGGAGTCAACCAATGAGTGCATGAACAGGTGGAACAACAAATTGATGTTTCTCTCCGTTCCTCTCCTAAAAGGAGAAAAACACAACATGAAGGGCAATCCCAGGGCCCATAGGCACATTACACACCCAAAAAAATCATTCACACGCACGGTATATGGTTGCATGTACAGACCTACAGGGCACTCCCAGGGTGCGGGTCACACATACATGCACCTAGAACGAATTCACGCAGGCACACACCTAGAGGGCGCTCCCAGGGCTCAAATGTACACACGCACCTAGAAGGTGTTTACACAAGCATACATCTAGAGGACGCAGATGGACCCCTAGGGGGCGCTCGCAGGGCCCACGCGCACACGCAGGCACACACACCCCTACCCTGCCTCCAGCCAGCCTCCGCCTCCCCCTCCGCC